GTGGGAGGCAGGCTGGAGGCTGGACTCCCAGCCCAGGAGGGACCGCACCCCACCTCCCGGGGCCAGGAGGCACTGTGCTGGCTTTTACAGGCACTAATGCTTGCTACAACTTAGTGCTAGCACTAACTATTCCTGTAGGACTATGTAAATACACCCAGGTGACTACAGGGGGGCAGTGAAATCTGTGAGGGCCTCGAAGCCTGGCTGCAGTGCTGACGTGTTGAGGAAGGGAAAGGGGACCCTGGGCCCAGGGAGCAGCATCAGTAAAGGCATGGGTGGGGGGCGACGCAGCACATACAGGAAGTCAGCGTAAGATGCTGCTAATGCTGATAGCGCTGTCGGTGCTTTTAGAGCACCTACCTGTATACCAGGCATGTGCCAAGCACTTTCCTGGCAGAATCTCACCAACTTGGATGCCAGGCTGTGCTCAGAATGCCCTGCTACTCTGCCCCCCGTGAGCGAGGAGCTAGAGAAGCGTGGACTCTCTTCAGTTTAACAGATGTTTCCGGAGCAGCTGTTCCAGGCCAGACCCTGGTGCTGGGATATGTGGGGACGAAGGCCTGGCCCCTGGCAGACTCGCCCGTTACAGCCCAGGGTGGTGAAGGACGCAGAGGGACTGTGGGTGGAGGGGTGCAAGGGTGGCCTCCGGCCCCAGGCAGGTTAGGGGTGAGGCTGGCCTTGCCAGTCAGAGTCAGAAGTGGTGTCCTGGGCAAGCCCCTTGGCATCTCTGAGCCTGTTTCCTCTGTTCAAATAGTCCCCACTCAGGCTGTGAGGGCGACAGCCCCGGCTGGCAAACGGGAGTGGGTGTCACTCCGAGGAGCCGTGTTTGCTTGCCTGGTGTGTGGGAGGCACTGTTGGGCATGGTGAGGGTGGCATGGCGTCAGGTGGCCTCATCTGGAAGGGGCTTATGGCCAGGCGAGACGAGGGGTCCTGGGTCACCTGAAACCCACCCCCCAGGACTGAGGTCACTGCAGCATCAGGTGGGAACTCATGGAGCCGGCAGGGGGCTCACGGTCAAACGTGAAAGCAGGACTTGGGGCCTACCAGGGTTTACCAACCTCCTCCCTAAACCAGCTGACTGACACCAGGCAAGTGAGTTAATGTTTTCTCTCTTATGTAAAATGCGTGAACCATAGGTGCTGGTGGTAGGATTCAATGAGATGACATGTGTGATGTGTCAGGCACACCTGGCATGGTTATGGCCACTGTGGGAGCAGGAGGGCTTCCTGGAGGAAGCGACTGATGGAGCTGAGCCTACGAAGTATAGATTGGGAAGGGTACTGTGGGAGGCAGGATTGGCTGTGTAAAGGCTCAGAGAATGCCACCCACAGCCTCCTCAAAACCAAGAGGACTATGTTTAAGAGCATGGCTGGGTTCCAGGGCCCCCCACCTGCATTCAGGTTTGGGGGGCTCTGGGGGAAGTCAGACCTGAGGCCCACACTTGCATGTTTCCAGGTGAGGTCCAGAGGGATAGCCATAGAGGAGTGGAAAGACCCAGAGACCCACAGCCCCAACACTGCACATGGTAAGACCTCAGGTCTGACCTCAGCTCCAGGTGACCCCCCAGGTCCCGGCCACAGCATCCTGGCCAGGCGGCCGATCCCCTCGTCCTCTTCTCCCACTGGAAGGTGGGGGGATAAATGGGCCCCTAAAGAGGGAGGCACACCTGGCTGGTGTGGAGGAATGTGAGTGCACAGACCCTGCTGTCCCACAGGTGTGGACTTCATGGTGCCGGTGATGGGCTACGTCTGCCGCATCTGCCAGAAGTTCTACCACGGCAACTCGGGGGCAAAGCTCTCCCACTGCAAGTCCTCGGGCCACCTGGAGAACCTGCAGGTGAGCTGGGCCTCCAGCCCCACCCCACCCTGCCCAGGACCCACTCCATCCAAACTGGGAGCGATGGCCACTGGCCTCCTCCCCCCTGTGTTTGACCTCAGCTCCCAGACACCCCCCCAACAGGGAGGACCTGCCCACAAAGGGCGGGGCGGGGCTCCTTCTGCTTTTGTTCTGGGGAAGAGAGGTGCTGAGGGCCAGGCTGGGGGCGCCAGAGCTCCGGCCCAGGGGGGCTGAGCGCAGCACAGAGTCTCAGTGGGGCAGGGGAAGCAGCTGCTGGCCGGCAGTGCACCAGGCAGGGAGGGCCCTGCCTCATCTGCACCCTCTGTGTCCAGAAATACAAGAAGGCCCAGGACCCCAGCCCTGCCGCCAGGCCCGTGAGCCGCCGGTGTGCCATCACCGCCCGCAACGCCCTGACTGCTCTATTCACCGCCAGCGGCCGCTCACACATCCAGGACACAGCCAAACCCCCCAGCAAGGTGACCACCCAAGCTCCCCAGCCCCCGCCATTCCGGCGCTCAGCCCGCCTCAAATCCTGATCGGAGCTCCCCCAGCCACCTGGGGTGGGTCCGGATGTGTGCTTCCTGGGGGTCTGCATGGAAGCTTGACATGGTTGGTGTTTTTACCCAAAAATCCAATAAAAGGTAGCTTGGTTGTCTAGTCCCCACCAGCACTCTGTCCGGGTGGACAGGGGAAGGGAGGCACCCAGCCAGCTCTCCGTCTCTAGGCTCCGTGTGGGGGCAAACCAGACAGCCACACACAGGCTCCCAAACCAGGGATCCTGGGATCACAAGGCGCTTCACCTCTCTGAGCCTCAGTTTCCCTCTTAATATACGAGGGCCAGGAAAATCTTCAAGTGAGATCTCATTTAATCTTCACAGTGAGTCTAGGAGGGTGGTCTCATCACCCCCAAATTATAGATGAAGAAACTAAGGCCTAGCAAGGTCAAGTGACTTCCTGAAGGTCATACACCTGGTGAGTGGCCAGGATTTGACTCCAGGCCTGAGCACTGGGCCCAGCTCTCCCCAGCCGGATTCTGTGGGAGGGGAAGTACGGGAAGGGGAACCTTGCTGCTCCTCCGGTTCCGAGCTCGTGGTGCACTAACGGTGACCCTGCCTTCTCGTCAAGTGACCTGTGATGAATCGTCAGTGACTGGAGCCCGGGCTGAGTTGGATCTTCAGTTCTGCTCTTTCCCCATTTGGAAAGACCCCTACGGATCAGACAACCAGATCAACCGTACTGTTGGCCAGCTGGGGAGACTGTGGCCAAGAGCGGGGGGGTGGTGCCCAAGGTGGCACGGCATGCCTGGATGTCGGCTGTCAGTGAAAGCCCTAGTGCCCCAAGGAGCTAAGTGCATCCCACGGGGTCACGCAGCATGTCCAGTGCTGTCTCAACCTGGCGGAAAGCACTGCCGGCCAGGAGCATTCCAGCGGGGGAGGAAGTCCGACCTCACCTGGACACCGTGTCCGGAAATAAAGAAAACAGGAACCGCCCCCCTCCAGGCCCATGAGCAAGGCCCAGAACGCCCTGACAGCTCTGTTCACCTGTCGGCCCCCGGGGTTCTCATCCAGGACCCAGTCAGAGGCGCAGACACATTTAATGTGGACATTCAAGGCCTGGGCAGAGCGGAGCGTGCCCGGGAGTGGGACAGGCAGGCAAGGTGGGGGTGTTGCAGGCCCACACCCGACGCCAGGAGGGAAGGCTGGGTGGTGGGAGGTGGCCCGTACACGCCGAGGGGAGAATCTGAAGAGCGGCTCAGGCAGGCAGAGCCGCCAGGGGACCTGTAGGCCAGCCCTGGAGAAGGCATCTAATCGGGTGGTGAGTGCCCAGGCTGGAGCCTGGCCCTGGAGGCAGGGTGAGGGCTGCCTGGAGGCTCCCGGAGCCTAAGTGCTGGCGTCGTAGTCGTAGTCGTCGTCGTCATCGTCGTCGGGGTCCTCCCCGAGCTGCTGCTGGAACTCCAGGCGCGTCTGCCGGTTGGACTCCAGCAGCTCCTGGAGGCGGGCGTGGAGGTGGTCGTTCTGCTCTTCCAGGTGGTCCAGGCAGGAGTTGATCTGGTCCAACATGGAGTTGATGGCAGCGTAAAAAAACAAGATCCCATCTCCTCAGCGCTCAGACACCCTCACCCCCACCCCCACCCCCAGCCTGACTCCCAAAGGGCTTTGGCAAGTCCGTACTCCTTCCTGAGCCGCCGTGTCACTGTGGGGAAGTGGGTGGGTATAAAAAGAGGGAAGGCTTTGGAGAGAGAATACCTTAGCACCCCAGGCTCAGCCAGGGTCCTGCCTGGGAAGTCCCGCCAGATACCAGTCTCCTTCCCACTCCTTCACCTGCCGAGAGGCCAGAGCCCACATTCCGGAGTGGGGCCATCCAGGCCTCTGTCCCCAGGCAAGCCCCTCCTGCCAGCTCTTCCATGGCCTTTGCCCCCCCGATAAGGCACCCAGATTCCAAGACCCCACTCTCCTCTCTCACATCTGCCTTGGCCCACCTCAGGCTCCTTGAACACGCTGTTGCCTCTGCCTGGAACCCACCGTCCCCCCTCCTGTCTCCCTCCCTCCTCTCCTGGATGAGTCCTACTCATGCTTCAAATCTCAGCACGGCTGTCACCACAGGGAGCCCTCCCAGCACCCCAGACGAGATCAGGCCTCTATGCCCAATCCCCTTCCACACACCTCGGGGGTCCTCCCTCCGGATGTGATCATCTGTGCTGGTCTGCCTCCCCGACCAGACCACAGAGCTCTGTGAGAAGTGTTACTGCCGTTTCCCTGAGGCCCTCGGTGACACACAATGAACATTTGTTGAATGAGTGAATGAATAGAGGAATGAATGAAGCCTCTAACTTTCCAGTCCTTCTGCCTTTGCTTGACTGTCCCTGCCACCCAGAATACAACAACAGTCATTTAACAACTAGCTCAAAACACCTCTTCTGAGAAGCCTTCCCTGATCTCCACCAGAAATCATCACTCCCTCCTCCCCAACCACTCCTGACCTGCACCCAGCAGCACAATGTCCCTTAAGGCCCAAGGTCTGGGCCTGTGCCCACTGCGGGAGCCAGTTCTGAGCCAGCCCATGACTCAGATACACTCCGCTGCCAGCTTGGGACCAAGGGGAAGTGGCTGGCAGTGTTTGGAAAAGGCCAGCGCTAGAGGGTGTCTGGGATATGGATGCAAATGTGTCTGCATTCTGGAGGAAGAGCGCCCATCCCCCAGAGTTGGCACACCTCAGAGGCCAGAGGCCTGGGAAGTCTGCTGGGCTTCACAGTCCAACCACCTTGTGGTACAGGTGGGGAAACTGAGGCCAGGAAGGAAAGGACTTGCGCAGGGTCCTCCAGCTAGTCGGAGGCTGGAGCCAAGACGCAGACCTGGGAAGTGGGGCACCTGGGCTTCAGCCCCAGCTCTGCTCCATCCCAGGAAGTTGCTGCAACCTTTCTGGAAAAGGGAGAGACAGTCCTGGTGGCTGTGAGGACTCAAGTATATCAAGAACTCAGACAGGGTCTGGCCGCAGCAAGTACTTAACACTTGGTCATTATTATCAACGTTGCACATTCTGTGTCGAGAGACACAGCCAGGGAGGGACGGGGGCGGCGGTGTCTCCACAACACGGGCCGGGCTCTATCTGTGTCAAGGGTGCTTCCCATTCCCAGCCTGTGCCTCCCTCCTCCCCACTGTGCTAAGTGCTGTGAACTGGCCGGCAACCACGCAATGTGACTCCTGGGAGGCCCGTCCTGATGCAGCTTAACACACACATCTGGCCACCGTTCAGGGCAAAGCGGCCAGCTCACCACTCTTCCCGTGGGAGGTCTACCTCTATTAAACGCAGGCCCTGGGTGATGGGAGTGTTGTAAAACTATTGGGGTGATGCCCTCGCTGGTGTGGCTCAGTGGATAGAGCGTCAGCCTGCAAGCTGAAGGGTCCTGGGTTTGATTCCAGTTAAGGGCATATGGCCAGGTTGCAGGCTTGATCCCCAGTAGGGGGCGTGCAGGAGGCAGCCGATCAATGATTCTCATCATTGAGGTTTCTATCTCTCTCTCCTTCTCCCTTCCTCTCTGAAATCAATAAAAAAATATTTAAAAAATGAAACTATTGAGGTGATAGATGCACACTCTGGATACTGTGAAACCCACTGAATTGTACAATTTAAATGGATGAGTTGTATAGTATGTGAATTATAGCTCAATAAAGCTGTTACCAAAACAAAATGCAGACTCCACACCCTACATTTACTAAATCCTGCACTCTAATAACCCAATCTTTATTACACTAAAGAGAATAATAATAACCATTTACTGAACACTTGCATTTTGGAACCTACTATTTCTCATTCATTTTCCCATTCAATCCTGACACATCTCAATGCCTGAGGGATTAATCATTGTTATTTTACAGATGAGGAAACAGGCTTCCGAGGGTCAGAAGGGAGTTGACGGTTCTCTCTCCACACCTCACCCACCTTCCATCCTCCACAGCGCCGTGCACACAACAGGCTGCTTTGGAAACAAGTCACATTCAGGGCTCCAGGCCGCACCAGAAAAGATGGCTGGGGCTGCTGACTTAGCAAGGCGCGCGCCCACCCGAACGGCCCTTGGGCTGGGCCGGAGCGGCCCGACGTCCCCACAGGGGCCGAGCTCAGCACTGGAGCAAACCCCCAAAGCGCGAGTGTCTCTGCAGCGGCCTCAGTTTCTGCAAAATGGGGCCCGCTGCCCACAGTTCTCGAATGCTGGGGTTTCCAGACACCCACTGGCAGGTGCCAGGAACCTGCAACCCACCCAGGAGCGGGGGATGGGAGGGCTCCTTCCTTCCACATCCCTATGCGGGCCGCCCCCCTCCCCAGGAAGGTACCCGGAGATAGCAACGGCCTCTCAGCAGTCCCCCCGCGTCACCTGCTTCCCCGAAGCTGTCATCCTCGTCTTCCGTGCTCGGTACCACCGGCATTCCCATATTGGGGCCCGACATCGCGGGCTCGGGCGCCGCAGAGGCCACGAGACGCTGAAACGCCGCGACCGTCACGCCGTAGCCCGCGCCGGGCGGAAGGCGGGGGGGGCGGGGTTAAGTGAATGATGGTGTAAATATCCAAATGGCCCTTGGCAGCAAAAGGGTCCTCGCTCTCTCCCGGCCCCGCCACCCCAGGCTGCTGGCCGGGAAGCCCAGGTGGTGGAGGCTCCGGCAAGCGAGTAGGGTGGAGGGGCAGCACAGCCTGGGACCCCGGCTCCCCTGTTCTATCCCCATTCCGCCCCTCCTGCCGCTGGCGACCTGTGGGTGGGCCAGCAGCGCCTCCGCGTGGGCGAAATCTGAGACGCGTGCTTTCTAAGGACCCCCTAACGGTTTCGGGACATTTTCGTTCACAGCCTCCTGGAGAGTCACGGTTGGCGGAGTGCTGCGTGTGGCTGTCGCTCAAGAAAGGCCCTGGGATACGCCTGGCCCAGCTGCCATCACCTCGACCCCTTTGCCAGCTGGGAAAGGGAGCCCTGCTCAGTCACCAGCCAGCAAGTGTCGCTCCTGAGCGGGACCCAGACGTGTGATCTCCAGCTGGGAGTGACTTGCATACATCAGTGCCACCGCCTTCTCTCTGAACCACGGGAGTGGAGGTGAGGCCTCAACTGAACCAGTCCCTCACCCAGGTCAGCTGACACCACCCCCACCCCCACCCCAGACTATAAAGTGGGGGCATCCTTTCTCCTGTCCCCCAATGGGCCACCCTCCTGCCAAGCCTCCACTCCTCCCTACTGGGGGCCGGCACACCCTCACAGCCGCCTTGAGAAGCACCTGTGCCCCTGATGGAGCAGGTGACAGCACTTGGACCATTCCGGCAGAGAGAGGAATCTTTGGGTCCGAGAGGGTGCTAGGAGCGTGCCTGGGGGCAGCTGGGTGCCTTGGGCATGGCCCCATCCCTCTCTCAGTCCAGGCTCCACTAAACTCATCTTTCCCTGGAGTCTGGCCCCGAGCTACAGCGGCATCTGGTTGGGCCTGGCCCCAGGTCTGTCCTGCTCCCTGCTGGCTGAGGCTGGGACTGCTCACAGCTCCAGTACCTCCCCATGCCCCTGCCAAGGCGAATGGGACAGGTGTGCAAGTCTGTGAGGGGAAGGAGCCGGGGTTCCTTCAGAAGCCGGCCTCCTCGGGTCTCTGGCCTTGCCAGGGGGGAAGAGGCGGGGGAGGGAGTTCCCGTGTGTGGCACAGGTGGAGAGGGGCTACAGCTGCAGCCCGGGTGGGCAGGAGCTTGTCAGGCCCCAGACACAGGCGCCACCAGTGGTGATGCAGGCCTGGGGCCCTCAGGCCTCTGGAATCTGGATCCCTGGCAGCATATCCCCCGTTTCGCATCCCCCAGCCCTGCCCCAGGTGGTCCAGACATCATCGTAGAGAAGAGGGGTGGTTGAGGGACAGTGCTCTGAATGGGGTGAGCATGGGTACTGCCACTCACCAGTGGGGGCAGGAGGGTGAGCACTGGACCCACAGGAGGCTGGCAGAGGAGCAAGGGACTAGCCTGGTGACCCTCGGTGCCTGACACAGCCTCAAGCTGGGCATTCCCTGTCCCACCTACTGTTGGCTGCCATCTTCTAACATCACAGGGATCTTGGTGAGTTGGAACCCTGGTGAGGGATCCAGCTTCCCCTGTTCCCTCCAGCTCCCTGGCCCTGGCAAGGCCTTTGTTGTTGGACCTTGCAAGTGGCTGAGTGCAGACATGAGGTGTGACCTCAGTGTTTCCATTGGCCTGGGCAGCCCTCAAAGGCAAGGACATGTGAGGGCTAGCGTTGGCTTGGGGGGGGACCCAGGATTGGGACTTAGGAGGTGTTCAGTCAAAGATGGACTCAAGTTC